ATGCAGCTCGACTATAATATCCTTCTCCATGGAGATAGCTATGAACTGTTCAATCACAAATAGGATTGTCTGTGATTCCATTTATGATATATTATTGAAATGTACATAAGTGACTTGAATTCATATTCCTTTGGAATAACTTTTCAATAAAGGAAATATTAACAAGTTTCAACTTGGAAATTAATTTCTTTTTGTTATCATCAATCAACTGCTCTCCTACCTAACAATATTATTTGGTATGAAAATTATCATCTTTATTGTAATTTCCTGTCCTTTTCAAGAAATTATGTGAAAAAAGCCAAGGTACAGGTGCACCACAGTAAACCTGTCCCCTGTCCTTTTCAATTTTTACTCAGAAAACTCGAAAGGACAGGGACAATATGCCTTGTCCCACTTCTGCGCCACAACTGTCAAGGTTTTCCCTGTCCTTTTTCATATTTTCATGTGGATCAACTGTCCCAAGCCCTGTCCTTTTGCAGATTAGTGGGTAAATATTGAAAAGGACAGAGGACAGGGAACCCACCACTTATAACTGTCCTCTGTCCTTTTCTAGTGTCCCCTGATGTTAAATATAAATAGTTCATCAAAAAACATGGTGGGCAACCAAAAAATGCAGTTTGGCAACATTTTGAATGTTATCCTTCAAAATATCCAGGACATTTTGGAGCCAAATGCAAAGCATGTAATTGTGAATGGAGTAATGGAGTTGTTAATAAACTGCAAGTCCATTTAGTACATGAATGTGAATATATCAAAAAAAGATGTTTGCAGAAAGAGATGGTATGATATAAGCAAATCTTTAGAAAATGCAACATATAAAGCAAATACACAATCACTTGCTAATTTTTGGGATAGAGATGAGATATTATTAAAGAATATGCAGGAATTATTGATCATTCAATTTTAAAGGCTTTTGAGACTTGTGGTATCAATATACATGAAGTTGAAATTAAAACCCCAAAATTGAAATTTTTTGACTTGAGGCAACTACATAGTAAAAATCAGTTTCGACTTCATGTATAATTTTGAAGTATTTGATTTTCTGAAATTTCACCTCTACCAAATGTAAAAAATTATTATTTTTTAAAAACTTTATTAATAGTGAATGATAATAATAATAAGCAAAAATGAAAAATAAAGAATATTTGTTTGACTTGGGATTTTTAGGACTTTCAAAACAGTTTAGGAATTCAGACTCATTTTCTAAATCAACTTAGAATGGTTTTAATTTCAAATAATTCTAAACTCGTTTTGGAAGGCAACTCTAATGTTGGTAAAGTAAAGCTTACAGTCATGTTAAGAGATAGTCTAAATCAATTTTTTAAAATCTGTTCATATGTAATGGGTGAGCAACTCAGGAAAGTAATTGTATATGAATGGTTACAAATTGGGTTGTTCACTATAATAGGAATAAAAGTGTTTGTGATATCTAATACATGAATATTTTAACTATTAGGTGTAGAATTAAACTTTTATGCAATGGACTGGTCTGGCATATATAGATTGGAAGATTGGATAATTGTGTATTGCCAGTTGGTGAAAATAATTCAAGCGTCCTTGAGGATGATGGGTCCAATATATAAAAATTTTGATAATCTGTCACATGAACTTGTAATATAATGGTAACACGAAATAATTTACATTCTTATTGGTCCAGCAAAGTGAAAAGAGTCTACAACTTTTAAACGAAGGTTTTACAAAAACTACAAGAACAACGACCAAAATTTTATTTATAGATCAATTGGCTGAATCACCAATATAATTTTAATATTAGGAAGTAATTAATACCCTCAGAAGAGGTTTATATATAGAAAAAAGATCTTTTGGCTATCAATAGCCGAAAAACCATTTAAGGAATAAAAATGATTTTTTATTAATCAGAAGTTCTTATTATAAAAAAAAAAATAGTGCATAATTTGCATAATCTATCAAGTATTGCATGCATAAATCCGGAGTCTCTACAATAAATTAATCATATGATATATACAATCCAACAATTAATAATTAGAAATAACAATCCATTGAATTATCATCAATTATTTTTCCTTTTTCTTCATTTCCATTATTAATTATTTCTGCATTTACACATTCTAAAGCTTCTTTGTATAAATGCTCCGTATCAATATTACTCTCTAATCTAACAAAATCAACCTTGCATATCTTTTGATAAAATTCCAAGTGCTTTCGTGCTAATAATGATAAAGAACTTGGAATATCATTATGAACATTGTTTTTATTGTTTTTAACAACATCAAATATTATTGTTTGTTCAAGGAACATTTTCATACGTTGAAGAATGTCAAAGATTTCACTGCGAACCAATCTACTTGGATCTTCAACCTATTTTGCGACATATAAACATTATTTTATTATGTTAATTGATTTATTTAATGTTGTATCATAAATTAATAAATTGCTCACCGCTGTAATAAGTAATCTATCAGCAGCCAACCAATAAAAGAATGAAGTATCTTTATCAATCAAAAATTCACTCTCATTTCCTTTTATCAATGTTGTTGGCAACAACAATGATGATGATTCATTAATTATCAAGCTTTTTTTATGATCAGGAATTGTTGATAATATCAATTCATCATTAATGTCATTGTGTTTCTTGAAATGATTCCAAACTGCTTCTAAAAATTTACATCCATTTATTCTTACATAAAAATCTGGATCTTCCATAATTTTTTCTATAACATTCGGACTAGAAATTAATATATATATAATTGGTTATTGGATAATAATATTTCACAACAGAATTGAATAATGATACACATACTTCATGATTTCTGCATTACGATCCAACAACAACATTGAACCATATTTACGTTCTACAATAAGAGAAATCAATAATTCCATCGCTGCTCGTCTCACAAATGCCTCACTATCCTTCATCATAAAAGGCAATTCAGATGTAATTTTTTCATGTAAATTCTTTGAGGCAAAATATTGCCAACTACTTTGACATCTAATTATTGACTGTGATAATTGAGATGTTCGTTAATTGAAAAAAAAAATACAATTTTTTAAAATTATATTAAATAAGGGCAATAATTATAAGCAATAAAATAAATACCTGAATGGTTTTTAGACAAGAAGCACGTACGTATGCTTCCTCATCATTAATTTTTTCTATGACCATTTGTGGTAAATTAAAACCAATCACAAAGTCAACTCCACAACTACTTCCGTCTGCTCTTTCACTAGACTATATAAAAAAAAATTTCTTTAACAAAAAAAAATTGTATGAATGTTATATATATCATTTTTATTACCTGATCAATTAACCTACACACAAAATTCAAAATTGAATCTCTTACTTCCCAATGAATATCACATGCTTTGAACACGATCGCATCAGCCCAATCTTTTCCATGTCTATTACTTAATATATATTTACTCATTGTTGAATTCAATATGAAACTTTGCATAGTTTCCAATAATAACATTATTCCACGACATTCAGTTTTTGAATCTAGTAATAAATTCTTTATGATCAAGAGACTCTGTAATAAATAAGATTGAGTTATATATATACATATAATATATATTAATATAAATCTAAAAGTTTTTACTTTGTTTACAGTCAATTCATCAGTGATTTGATCATTTGTGATTTTCGTGAAAATAGCAATTGGGATAATACCAAGTGCTGTTTTCAAAATACGTTGATCTGTATTATAATCTGGGTTAAATAAAATAGATATTATTGTGTCGATTGATTTCTTCATCTACAAGATGTTTTATTTTAATACTTTAACATTTGTGATGAATATCAATTGAAATTATGTCAGTAAATTACATACCTTAATCACTATCTGATCGTACCTGAGCATGATATTTTGAATTGTAAATAATATGCTTAAAACTAATAACTTTTGATTTGCAAAGTTTTTCCTATTATTATTAGAAAATAAAATTCTAAACTTTTTGATAATTAAACATTTATATTACTTTTATTATTATTTTTATTTTTTTTAAAAAAAAATTAACATCCAACCATAACATCTATTCTTACTTTTTTATAAGTTCCATTTTCATTTAATATTCCAAAATTTTTGGGTATTAATCCTTCACCATCACATTTCATATTATTATCAATATCACCACAAACATCCTCACTATCAATATATTCATTATTGTTATTAGCAAGCCCAATTAAAAATATTAATAAGTTTATTAAATTTGATATGTATTGTTCTCTTATAGTTTTTACAACAGCTCGATCAATCAATTTTATTGATGAATTCAAAACATTTACTGCCATTGTTAACATCTCAAAATTCAAGGGATCAGTATTAAATAATGGATAGATCATCTTATCTATAATATAATTAAATGCTTTTTATTCAAAAAAAAAAAAACATTATTATTTAAATGTTAGAAAAATTTAACCCCAAAAAAAATAATAATTCATGAATTTTTTCTTACCTTCAGAAATTGGATCTTCATTATTTATATTTAATGAATAATTTCTAAATAATAGAATTGGGTCAGGAACCCATTCAAATATTGAGCATAAAATATCATTTGTTCTAGATCTTACAATTCTATTATTGTTAATTAATAATATATTTAACCGTGTCAACTAGATTATAATTATAATATATAATATAAAATGAAATTATAAATATAATATTTATTTATATTCAACAATATATATTATAAACATACCAATTGACTTTGTACCAAGAACGCCAAGACATTATTTGATTTGGAATCAACCAATGTCCAAATTAATTGTAATACTGTCAACCTATCATCAATGCTACTATCAGAGTCATACAACATACCATTTAGTTTATTATATAAATCTAGTGAGGTTATCAAATGCTCCAATAATGAATTTTTGCTGAATGGTAAGCAATTATTATTTATAATTGATAGTAGTAGTTTACAAGATGACGCAGCAACATAAGTGCTAGTATCATTAAAACATTTAGAAACAGCTTGTGCACTTTTTCCAGATTCAAGAAACCTGTAAATGTGAATTATGATGTGAGAATAAAATCATAATTATAATATTAACAATAGTAGCAATAGTATTAATAATAGCAATAGTAATATTTACCAATTAGATCCTTGTTCATAAGTAACTATTTGCTGTAATGCTTCAATACATGAATATCGTGTAAGTCCCTCCTCGGCAAATGAATTGTCCAAAATAAAATCAAGTATATCGAGATATTCATTAATTAATTGATGGAATAACGAACTATTATCTTTATCATCATGTTGCAATAAGCATGCCAATAAACGAATTGACAATGCGATAATTCTATAATCTTGCTGTGGATTTTGTACTTCTTGTGGCAGGTGTTGTTGTATGATACATTTCTAAGCAATTAACATTATTTCATGTTTTCCTTTATAGTATTAATAACAATAATAATCATAAAATTTACACACACGTATTATTTCCAGTATATTCCATTCTTCAAATATTTTAATTAGTTCAGGCCCTTTTGATACATACTCTGAAAGATATGATAATACCTTTTCATGAATAGTATCATCTACTATATCCTTTGACATATTAGGTAAAGAAATTATTACATTATATAATTTCTCCATCCTTGAAATTTAAACTAGCATGCAAAATCGTGTTCGCCTGCCCCCTGTCCAATATCAGGCCCTGCTTGAAAACACAGGCGTAACAATTTGTAACTTGTTTATTAGTCGTGGGACATTGCAAATCAAGTGTCATTCAATATAAACGTTACACGAAAAAATTTATTGTCGTCCACTTC